TAAGATTTTTATAATATAATAATATTAATTTAATTATATAATTTAATTAATTTTTCAATATAAAATTCATATAAATATTTTTAGGACTTCAAAATTATAGAAAAAATATTCATAAAATAGCCTATTTATTTAAAAAAATTTGGTGAAACTAGTTTGCAAAACTAAAACTTGATGGTCCCAAAATCCCCAGTTGTATCGACATGTATCAATTTCTTAAAGATTTGCATGAGTGCCCAAAAATCATAAAAATTTTGATGCAATTGAATCACTATAATATATATATTATAGCAAAGACAGTTGCTGATTTGAGTTTACAATGATTCCTAAAAAAAATTATTTCACTCTATTAAAATATGGGCTATTGCAGCACACTCATCATATTGAGAAGATCATAGTTAATTCCAATAATTTCATTGGCGATCAAGATGATATGTCATCCATCTTAACCCCTTCAGTAAGTAATGACTAAGTTAAATTGTTGCAAATATAAAACCAACTTTAAATGTCAATCTTGATAGATATTCTATTATGTAAGTAGGTATTGAAGTGACCTATACTTGTAGGAATAATTGTATTGATTTAAGCAAATAATGCTGCTAATGCTCTTCATATCGGTGAAGCTTTCAAAGTTCCTTCTTATATATTGGATAATTCCTTTTAAGCACTTTGTACTATTTTAGAGCGGTACCTACTAAAAATCTAGACTTTCCGCAGCGTATATTAATAGCAAATTAATAACCGTTGCTATATCCGGAATACTGTAGCGGTCTTAAACCGCTTATTGGTTTGCATTAGAAATTAAAAACCGACTTCTGCCCTAGCAATCTTATTCGACCACGCGATCTCTTTACTCTCTGCGCGTCTCTTCTCCCTGCGAACAAATTACTTCTCCGTTTCTTCTCCCCGTGAACAACCCGCCTCCTCCCCAACCTTCCACAACACGGATGGCGACAACGACGTCGACGGCGACAACGACGCCGACGCCACTGCTTCCAGTCTAAGAAGATCTTCGCTGCCGCTTTCGTTCGCACCTTAACCAAGCAAACGTTGGGTTAGTCATCTGATTAGGTTTTTTTATTGTTTGTGCTGATCTATTGGTGTTTTTTTTTTAATATATAAAATGCCAAAATATCCATTTTAGTTACCTACAAAAATGTACAATGCTTAATGCTATATACAGAGTGAATACTCTGCTTAATTTGAAGCGCTCATCGTCCCTATGCAGCCCAAAATTGGCAAAGCCAGCCGACCACATACCACCATACCAATCATAGCAAAATAAAAGAACTCACGTTTAAGGTACCGAAAACTTCACTGTGATCTTCTTGGTGTTTTAATTTGACTCGTTGATTTGAATTAGGTAAGACTAGCTACATGTTTACTTTATGTGCTAATCATCTGATTAGGTTTTATTTTTACTCAGATGATGTATATGGAGGTTTAAATTCAATTTGAAGAATTTTTATGCTGCATTTGAACGCAATTTTTTTTTCGTTATATATTAAGTGAAATGGCATTTGAATGCTTAAAAGCAAGTGAATATATCATCTAAAACTATCATGGAATTTGTTTATTCATTTTTTATTGATTAAGTTTGATTACTTTAACACTGTATATAAAAAGCTTTATTATCTAAATTAATTTGTAATATTATAAATGAAATTTGAAATATCATCATCGTGTATAGGGGTGTCAATTTCGGGTCACTGGTCGGGTTCGGGTCGAACCCGGAACTGACCCGGGTT